AAGTAAGATTGTGGAGGGGGCACCGGTATTGATGATAGGATCTGGGGCAGCAGTTCTCAACCAGGAGCAATTTACCCCTGAATAGGGGGAATCTGGGGTTGTCTGAAGACATTGTTGGTTGTCACAAGTAGAAGGGGAGAAGACACTTCAGACACCTAGTAGAGGTCAGGGATGCTGCAAAACATCCATGAACAGGAGAGCCTCCATCCACAACAAAGATTAATGTGGCCTGATTGTCAGTAGTGCCACGGCAGAGAAGCCCCATCTAGTCTATGATTATGGGAACTAGTAGCTGGGATAAGTCTGAGGACAAGATTATTGGGAAAAAGAAGATAAAGAGTAAGCCCATGGTTCATACCAATGTATGGCAAAACACAAAAGACTACAATATTGTAAAGTAATTAGCCTCCAACTAAAATAAATAAATTTTAAAAAAAGAAGATAAAAAGACCAGGGTTTTGGAAATTTCTCCCTATGACTAGTGGAATCTCCAAGAATTACAAAAGGAGTAAGAGAAAGAGGGTCAGGGATGAGAGGAGGTTAACTAGCTATGTGTGAAGTTATTTTATTTTCCTGTAACTAGCTGATTGGTTGGATTTGGAATTGATTTTCCTGACTCTAAAAACTACATGTCCAAATTAGCCAGAGTGATGATATGTTGTTTTTATTTTTTATTTTTTCCTGTAATTTTAGTAAACATTTTATTGATGTAGAGCATTCCATTCATACCAAAGCCATGCATATCCACAGTGTGAAAAGATTCATCAAATAGAACACATCCATTAAGCCAGTAGCTAGAGGGGGAAAAGGCCTTAGTTACACTCCAGAAGCCCCCGTTTGCATCCTCCCCGAGGATAACTACTGTTGTGACAACTGTAATTGGACTCAGTGTAAGATGTGTTCATGTTGCCAGTGGTTATAGTTCCATTGTATCAATAAACCTTAATTTCAGTTTTCCATCCTGTTGATATGTACTTTGATTGCTCCCTGTTTGAACTTACAACAAATATGGCTACTATGAAAATTGTACATAACTTGGTGCATACATATGTGCATTTTTATTGAGTATATATCTAGGATTGAAATTGCTAAGTGATAGCGTGTGTGTAAGTTCAAGTTGCCAAGGTGACTGAACCAATTTCCATTCCTTTCAGCAATGTATGAGACTTCCAGTTGCTCTCCATCTTTGTCAACAATTTTTATTTTAGAGAATTTAGGTATTAGTGCTATTGAACTGCAATTTTTAAAGATGCACTTAGTTGGTTACATACTATAAAAATGTGAGTGTACAGTTTACTTTTTTTTTTAACAAACTTGTGAGTTGTGCCACCATCAGCACAGGCCAGCTTGGGAACTTTTCCATCACTTTACAAAGTCTGTCGTCACTCCTGCCTCCAGCTCCAGGCAGTCTGCTGTCTGTCTCCACTGTCACATTTTGTGGACATTTAAGTATTGATAGAATAATATTCTGTGTAGTCTTTTGCATCTGGCCAGGCCCTCCTGCCGCTCCACTTCGGCTGTGCGAATATTTCTGCTCTTTGAGTTTGGGATTTAGCCCATTCTAGTTTAATGTAATTATCAATATGATTGGATTTGTCTGCCATTTTGCTTTGTTTCCTATCATGTCTTTTTTGTTCTTTTCCTCTTTCATTATTTTATGTCACATAAATTTTTATTTATCATTTTAACAATACTTTAAAGAGATTTTCCCCCTCTGTTTTGCCTTAGGGATTATAAAAATATTAATTTATTACATCCTGCTTCACATTAATGAAAAGGGTAGAAGGAGGAAGGAAAAACAGATGAATAAGTGAAGACACTATGTTCTTGGCTAGCACAGTCCAGGGTTGCACATTTGTGGTCAGTCTTCTCAGAACTCAGTGCAATTCCAGTTATAATCACAACCATCGTTTTAGGTGCTGAGGCTATAAGATGAGAGCCTTTTTTAGAGTCTTGATTTTACATGTGCTTCAGAAGGACCCGAGAAGGCTGTAATAAAGTTTTTCCTTAGGGTCTAGTGAAAAATTCTGATGCTCTAAATAGTGAAGATGTATATTAAACTGAAGCATACAAGTGGACATAACAGAAATAGCCTGCCACTTATGCTCCATAGCTATATTCCCAAGATTTCCAGAGAACCCATAAACAGCTCACATTGTCAATTTTGATAGCTCTAGTGAGCCCACTGAAAGACACCCTCTACAATAAATGATTCGTTACGAACCTGTTTACACTGACCCTAAAGTGTGCAAGCAGGATTCACTGTTCTCAAACAACCTGCATTTATCATTTTCTTGCTCACAAACCCTGTTGTTTTTTGGTGCTTCCTCATGGTTAGATCTAGGTTATATATTTTTGGCAAAAGTATTGGGTAAATCATACTGTGTCTTTCACAGTGCATCACATCAGGAAGCACATGTTTTGTTTCCATTCTTAATAGTGATATTCTTTTTTTTTTTCTTCATTTATTTTTATTAGTTGGAGGCTAATTACTTTACATCATTGTAGTGGTTTTTGTCATACATTGAAATGAATTAGCCATGGATTTACATGTATTCCCCATCCCGGTCCCCCCTCCCACCTCCCTCTCCACCCAGTCCCTCTGGGTCTTCCCAGTGCACCAGGCCCGAGCACTTGTCTCATGCACCCAACCTGGGCTGGTGATCTGTTTCACCCTAGATAATATACGTGTTTCGATGCTGTTCTCTTGAAACATCCCACCCTCGCCTTCTCCCAGAGTCCACAAGTCTGTTCTATACATAGGAGTCTCTTTTTCTGTTTTGCACATAGGGTTATCGTTACCATCTTTCTAAATTCCATATATATGTGTTAGTATACTGTAATGGTCTTTATCTTTCTGGCTTACTTCGCTCTGTATAATGGGCTCCAGTTTCATCCATCTCATTAGAACTGATGCAAATGAATTCTTTTTAATGGCTGAGTAATATTCCATGGTGTATATGTACCACAGCTTCCTCATCCATTCGTCTGCTGATGGGCATCTAGGTTGCTTCCATGTCCTGGCTATTATAAACAGTGCTGCGATGAACATTGGGGTGCACGTGTCTCTTTCAGATCTGGGATATGTTGTTTTTAAAAGCCACTTGTTTTTTAACCAGTTTTGGCATAATTGTCTATCTTAAATAGATTGTCTAAAAATGCATTTAGGGATTTGGTTGGTCTTTTTGGTCTTACATGACTGTAAACTTGGGCACTTGGCCTAGTTCCATCTTTAAATAACTTCTCAGGGTAACAGTTCTTGCAACTAGACCTTGTAGCAGGGATCTTGTTTGAGAAAATCGTTGAGAAACTTATTTATTGATTTTAAAGACTGTGACTTTCCTTGCAGTGCTCGTCACAGTGGAGAAAGCTAGGCAGTCCCCCAGAGTAAACCAGGGCCACGAACCAGCGCTGCTTCCCGGGGGCAGTCACAGCCCTGCTGCCCACAGAAGCAATGGGTGCCTTTTGTTTGCTTCTTGCTTAAAAGAAGGTCTTGTTTTGAGGTTTGGACCATGAATAATAATCTGTTGTTCTCTCTAATAATAATCCACCCTCTTTAGCAGAAAAAAAATCTACTTGATTCAGTGTGGCTATCAGTTTATTTAGAAGAATGGCCAAAAGTGCCCATTGTGTCCTGAGAATAAACATTTGGAAGATAGTTTGGGGGGATGGGGGAGTACTCTGGCTCTTCTTGGCCTGGAGTCATAAAGACCTCAGGAAGAAAAAATTCTGAAAATGACCATCAGTCCTGTGTGACAATACCCTTCCTTATTCTACTCATCTGTTACATTCTAAGAATAATTGGAACACTGTAGATAGGGATTCTCTCCCAAGTATTTCTTCAAAAAATATCTTATTTTGAAAATGTGTGTTTTTACTCTTTTCTGCATTAGTTCTGTTTCCACTTTTAGGCCAGATTAGTTTCTTTCCAATCTTCATTTAGTCCATGAAAGAGTTTCTTTTTGGGTGAAGGTTATTTTATCTTAGCAACAGTCCTTTAATAATTCCCGCAGTTGCCTCTGATTGTCGATCTTGAAATGATAGACATTTTGATGACTACTTCCTGGGCTTAGGCTAACTGAAGAATTCAATGAGTCGAGGAATATGTGACCCGGTGTGGTTATTATTTCTTGAGTACACATGTTCTCTGGGTAAGATTTCATTAATGAACACAAGATATGGTATGCGTTTTTCCCCCTTAAATATAGAAAAAGAGTGTGTTAAATAATGAACATGGCTTTAAAATAAAGTGATCTCTTACCTAGAACAGTTTAAATTGGTTTAAATATGGAAGATGAGAAAAGATCAACCTGATATAAATTGAAATGTAGGAGGTGAATATAAGAACCATTTAAAGAATTAAAAATATGGCCTCCACATCATTAAAAACAGAGCATCAGAGAAGCGTGATGACATGTCCTTCAGTAGATGAACTGATAAACTGAAGTACAAAGGATATTGTTCAGCAATAAAATGAAGTGATCTATCATGTCATGAAATGATATGAAGGAAGCTTAAATGAGAGAAGCTAATCTGAAAAGGCTACATTAACAATATGATTCCAGCTATAGAATATTCTGGATGTTAGTGATACACTAATGCAAAGTGTTAACAATAGAGAAAACTGGAACTTGGGGGAAGCAAGAGGGAATATATGGGAACTCGCTGCTTTTTTTTTTTTTTTTGCATGAAGCTCAGAGTCTTAACCTCTGGACCGCCAGGGAAGTCCCAGGAACTACCTACTCTCTGCAAACCTCAAACTGCTCTGAAAATTAAAGTCTGTTCATTCAAAAGAAAACATACATATTAGGTAGAACTGAACTAGTAAAAATGTCTTCTTACTAAAAAACAAAAATCCAAGACTCTAATATACAGTGGTGGTGTATTACTATATACAGTTTGTAATGTTCTTTTATCTTTTCTTTGTCCTCAGAAAAATATGCACAGTGGTATTCATGCTAAATCCTACTCCTAAACCTTCCTTGTTCCTCTCTCTGCAGTGACATATGGTGTATCAGCCTTGGAGGTGTATACACCAAAAGAAATCTTCGTGGCAAATGGGACACAAGGGAAGCTGACATGCAAGTTCAAGTCTACTAACACAACTGGCACGCTGACCTCAGTCTCCTGGAGTTTCCAGCCAGAGGGGACTGACACCACAGTGTCGGTAGGAACGCTTATTCATTCTCTACTGGTCCTATCTCATGGTGCTCTTTTTATTTTCTTAATTAGAGGATAATTAGAGGATATTATGGATATATAAAGGATATATATATTATCCTCTAATTAAATGATAATTAGAGGATATTATTTTTGAGTAAACTCCGGGAGTTGGTGATGGACAGAGAGGCCTGGGTTGCTGCCATTCATAGGGTCGCAAAGAGTTGGACACGACTGAGCGACTGAACTGAACTGAATGATGGTTTTTGCCATACATCAACATGAATCCGTATGAGGTATACATATGGCCCCTCCCTTTTGAAAGCCCACACCTCCCTCCCCTCCCCACCCCTTTAGGTTGTCATAGAGCACTGGTTTTGGGTTCTCTGCATCATACATCAAATTACCAGGGGCTATCCACTTTACTTATAGTAATGTATATGATTCAGTGCTATTCTCTCAAATCATCCCGCTTTCTTCTCCCACTGTGTCCAAAAGTCTGTTCTTTATGTTTGTGTCTCTTTTGCTGCCCTGCATATTGGATTGTCATTACTATCTTTTTAGATTCCATATATATGTGTTAATATACAATATTTGTCTTTCTCTTTCTGACTTATTTCACTCTGTATAATAGGCTCTAGGTTCATCCACCTCCTTAGAACTGACTCAAATGCATTCTTTTTTTAGCTGAGTAATATTCCATTATGTATATGTACCACAATTTCCTTATCCATTCATCTGTCAATGGATATCTAGTTTGCTTCCATGTCCTAGCTATTGTAAATAGTGCTGCAATGAACACTGCGGTGCGTGTATCTTTTTCAATTCTGGTTTCCTTAGGGCATACACCCAGTAGTGGGATTGCTGGGTCGTATGATAGTTTCATTCTTAGTTTTTAAGGAATCTCCATACTGCTTTCCGTAGTGGCTGTATCAATTTGCATTCCTACCAACAGTGTTAACATAAACATAACATAAAACATAACATAAAACAACATAACATAAAACAACATAAACATAACATAAAACAACAGTTTTATCCATATCCTCTCCAGCATGCATTGTTGGTAGACTTTTTGACGATGGCCATACTGACTCATGTCACGATGGCCTCATGAGATTCTTTACTTCTCTAGTGTGATTAATGCTGCATTCTTCTGATTGGGCACTTGCAAAATAAGTCAGTGAGACTTCAGGGCCCTTTTCTTGCCTCAGACTCTCCAGGAAAAAAAAAAAGTAAGTTCAGCATCTCTTAAATGCAACTTTTTATCTATATTGTTACCAATATTAATATATCTATCATCTATCTCTATCATCTATCTAATGGGTTGGGATATATGCCTGATTTCCAAATCTTTGAGTGGACTTGTGTCCCTCAGGATTTATAAAAAGGGAGATGCTCGGGTGCTGTGCCTTAGAAGGAAGGAAAGATGAGGTAAAGTCAGAGATTACAGATTTAGTTAACTTCCTCATAGGGTCCAGTTAGGTATGATTCTTGGTAAAAATGAGTCCTAGAGCGAGTGAGAGCAGGAATCCATACAAATAAAACATGGGAAAACAGAGCCAGAGGCATTCTGTTGCTTCCCGTAAACATGTTATTAATGTGGAAAATGTGTCCTATAGATGCAAAATTAAACACACAGATTTACCCAGCAGAGTTCCAAGAATTATTTTGTGATGATTTCCCACTGATATCTTTTGCCAGACTAGAAGTGAGGGACATAATCTATAGAAAGTAAAGCATCAAAAAAAAAAAAAAAAAGAAAGTAAAGCATCATCAGGAAGACACCCAGATGCTCTTTCCTTTGAAGAGCAGTTCTACTTATGCTCAAAACATCCTTGTCGTATGGATCATGCATGTTTACATACCCTAAGCCTTAATATTAAAAGCATGCTGGGAACTTTCCCAGTGGTCCAGTGGTTAAGAATCTGCCTTCCAATGCAGGGCATGAGGGTTGGGTCCCTGGTTGAGGAACTAAGATCCTACGTGCCTCAGGACAGCTAAACCTGCATGCTGCCACTACATGCACCACATGTAGTTGGCACCAGAGTCCATGTGCCACAACAAAGACCCAGTGCAGCCAACAAATAAAAGGAGATTTTGTATTTCTGGTTAATACTATATTTTACCTAATTAATTTACTTACATACCAATCTGATTATAGTTAATTCCAGAATGTTCAGTTACTGATACAGGATACTTTAACCCCCAGATGTTGGTGCACAGTTAATAAGATGAGTAGGATGCTCTTCATTTTTATAGATTTTCAAGAGAAGTAAAATCAAGCTCAAAATACCAAAGATGGCTTTTCTGGTCCATGGAATTAGGATACCTGTGTCTAAAACTGAGCTCATCTTTTCTACGCTATGTTCCCTTCTCTGCTAGTTGTTTTTGGATATTTATTTTCTTCTAGGGACCTGATTTTTTGTTTTTTTAATCTTGTGTTTTGTTGGTGGGGTTTTTGTCCTTCCCTCCCCCATCCACAGCTTCTTCCCTTCCACTGCTCACACTCAACCAAGAAATAAGAACATGTGCTGGATCTTCCTACTTTGTATCTGGCATCTAGATTTTTGTTAACCTTCCTGCTTCTCTGCTCCACATTGCATGATAAAAACTCTGCCAAGGCTAGTGGAGTAACACCCTTGGTTATTCCTCCACTTTACATCATCCATCTTTCAAGCCACTCCTGCAGTGCACCAGGTGCCTCATCTTAAAACAGTTCTTTCACCTCATCACTGCCCTCTTCAGAATCCTCATGTTTCCCATTGCGAACAGCTCTTCTCTGGAATTCAAAACTCCTCACAGCTGTGTTCCAGCCCCACTTAGGTTCTCCTATGTGATCTTCAGTCTAGCAAAAAGAACTTTATGCTTTGTTTTTCCACTTCTGAGCTCTTACCATTTAAGTTCTGTCCCATCTTCACATTCTAATCCCTCTAAATACCTTTTTTGACCTTTTAGCTGTTTTTTTTTGGTGGGGGGGGCATGCCACAAGGCATTTGGGATCTTAGTTCCCTGACCAGGGATTAAAACCGTGCCCTCTGCAATGGAAGCGTTGGACCAAGTGACTTTCACTTTCAAGGAGATCTAGTCTCTTTTTTGTATGAGTTTCTTTTTTTTTTTTTTTTGCCATTTTGTTACTCTTTCTTACTGATTTGATCAAATCACTATCAATCAGCGCAGTGCAGCAAACATATACAGTTCCAGTAATGTGCCAAGTGCAGAGAAGCTCAGAGACAAATACAGTTTCAGAGGCATCAGGTCTAATGAGGCAGGGGTTGCAGAGACCCAGCAGTGGCAAAGGGTGTAGTATAGGTTTTCATTACTGTTTCAGAAATACAGGGCAGGGAATGTCTATAGATGAGGTAGAAAGGAAAGCGGAGACCAGATGACAGAAGGACTTGCTTGCTAAGCTAAGACCTTGTGGTTTATTTCCTGGTAAAGGAGAGGGTGAAGGGCTTGGGCCAGGCAAGATAAGACATGAGAGGCATTAAAATGACAGAAATAGCTTAAGCTTTGAAATCAAAGCTGGGTTTGAATTTTGTCTCTTAAGACCTGTGAACTTGAGTAAGTCACTAAGGTTCTGAGCCTCACTTTCCTCACTTGCAAAATATCTGGCAGGTGAACCTTACCTTGTAGAGTGGTTATGAGTGTCAGAATGTTATTTTTCATGGTATTTCGCATTTCTGTCCATCTTGTAAGCAGAGGTCTTGGCTGCCTTTGTTGTACAGTGACTAGTCTTAGCAGGCGGAGAGGGTGTCTCCTTCTGGAGCAGAAGACAGGCTTGCTTACTGTGCACGAGAGTAATATGTCTTCCTTTGGGGCAAAGGTCAGATGGGCTTGCTGCCCATTATAGAAGATTGGGGTTTTCCAAGCTTGGGGCTCTTCAGCTGTGATGCAGAACCTCTGTGTGCACAGCGTCCGCCCTGGTCCCTCCATGCTGTCCTTGTGGATTCTGAGGGGCAGAACCACAGGTAAAAGCATGCTGCTGGCTGTTTGTAAGGAGTAGGGTTCTTTGTGTCCAAGTCTTCTCACAGGAGAACAAAGACTTCCCATGAGTCTTGTGTTTCTGCCAGCATCTGTAAACCTATGGCTGACTTGCAGAGAGGGTAAAATCTCAGAGCCTTCATAGTTCCTGGTAAGCATTAGTTTATTTTAAACACTGGGTATATATTTGATAAATGTTTTTTTTTTTTTCCAGTAATCATTTAAGCATTATGAAGGATGGATTACAGGAACTTGAGACCAGTTAAAAGGTCATATAGTCCACGATAATGAGGACATAAAATCAGTTAGTATTGGTGGGAATCAAATAGAAGAGAGAAGCTTAGGAGGTAGAATTGACAGGATTGGGAGACTAATTGAGTGGGAAGCAAGATGAATCAATGATAATTCCACAGTGTATGGTTTGGGAGACTGGCATGCTGCGGTCAGTCAAGATGTGACAGGTAGAAGATGGAGTTTGTAGGATAAGGTGGCAAATGGGAGGGTGGGGACAGCTGAGCTGAAGTAAGCAGGCGGTTGGATTAGGAGTCTAGAGCTCCAGAGAGTACTATGGATGAGAGAGAGATTAAGAAGTTAACAAAATATAGATGGCCATTAAATCATAGGAATGGATGAGATTGCACAATGGATGAGATTTTAGCTTCTATAAAAGATTCTGAAAATGTGTTTGGATTGCTAATACAGCTCAGTGGTTGACTAATGCTGGTTGCCACCCCCAACCCTGCTATTTCCCCATCGGTGAATAAGAACAAAGACATCAGGCCTCCAGCAGAACTGCATAGATTGGAGCCACATATGAAAATAGATCCCCGCCCTCCAGGCCTGACCTTATTTTCAGGGGACTGGGTTTGAGAAAGTTACTTTGAGAAATGAGTTCCTTTGCTGAAACGCAGGTCTGCAGAGAGAATGAGACTGCAAAGAGAAAGGCCTAAAGACTGAACCTGCAAAGACAGATGAGACTTTTGGGTTGTCTGGGCTGTGCTCCTTTCATATAGCCATGACTTTTCTGTAGGAAACAAGTAAGTAAAATGGGGTAACTGTCGGAGCCATTATGGGAGGTCCCGCCCGTGACGAGGTCATGAGGAAAATACCGGGCAGGCAAGGCCGTCTAGGATAAGGGGCCCTCCAGGCTGGCCTCGCCTCCACCCCACCCTGCATCCTCCCCCCTTTTCTGCTCTTGTTCTCATTTGCTCTGCTGCAGATTCTTGTGTTGCCTGCCGAGAGCTCTCCTGCTCCTCTTTCACTGAATAAAGACCAACTTAAAAGCTAATTAATAAATCTCCTGGATGCTGGTACCCTATGAAAGGGCCAGGGATGAAGGAAATGCTTCAATTCAAACCCTTTTGCTGGCATTCTGGCTTGTTTGATAAATGTGTGCTCTCATTGCACAAAATGCTCATGATTGTTCTAAACATCCTAAGCACAGTATGCTAACAAAAGAAACTATTAAGCATAGATCCCTCTGCGTGGTGAGAAAAGCTCCACAAATATAGCGACAAATGTGCCTAATAAAAAATAGTTTAGATAGAGATTAGCTGGTGACTTCTTGCAGGTAATTAACTTTTAGACTAAGAGCCTGCTTTGTGCCATATCTGCTGTTTTTGCAATCCTTTGCATTTCTGTTCTGTAAAAAATGTAATCCTATCTAGTTCCCATGGAGATGACACCTAATAGAAAGAAAATAGATTAACCACAAAAAAGACAGGGTCGGCTACTGAAGTTGCTTAAAGTTGCACCAGGTGCAAGCCATAAATTGTCAACAGGCCTGAAGGCCAAAAGATATTATACATAGAGATTAACCATAAAAAAGGCCCTAATAGGCACAGAGCCCTTTGGGGGGTGAGGAAGCCCTATTAGAGAATACAAAAAAATATTGTTTTAAAAGTGGTTATTGGATCAACGTTTGATTGATGTTAATGTGCTGAGGTTGTGCAGTGGAAACTATTGTTAATATAGTTGGAGATCTAGTAAAATAAGAGTTTAGCCCTAGTGTAAAAACAATAAGATAATTGTTAATTTTAACCAGGAGTGCTAAACAGGGGCTCCCTCACCAGAGCCGCAGAGTCTTTGTGTGCTAAACTTTTTAGATAAATTTAGCTGAGAATTTCTGCAAAAAGACTGACTTTTATGTTAACAGGATTGTATTTCTATTATGTTACAACCTGCTGTACCATGAGACTGCCAATTTTCTGTTTTCTGCGAAGCTCAATGCCAGAAGATAATGTACAAAACATCTATGGGAAAAGACTCTCATAAACAGAAATATACAGAGCACACCTGGTTTCCTGAAGGACAAGCTGATGTAACGTTAAACTAAGTCTGTGTGCTTATCTGCCCCTTAGAAATGTACCGACTTAGGGTATAAAGGCGATGGTGAAAAATAAAGCAACTGCCAAACTCTGCTGCTTATCCTGGCCTGGTCTCTCTCTCTCTCTCTCTCTCTCTCTCTCTCTCTCTCTCTCTCTCTCTCTCTCTCTCTCTCCCTCTCTCCCTCGCAGACTTGGCCCCATTTAAGGCCGGTCCTACGTGTCTTCTCTCTCGCCGACGCCGTTCATCCTGAGGGTTCCCCTGGATCCTGCTGGGGGTAACCCACAGATTAACTGATCTGTGATATTTTGGCTTCTTTTTCTTGATGCCTTCGTGTATCTTAATGGTAAGCTTTGTGAATAAAGGCTGAAACTTTTGGATTCACTGGGCTCAATCATGGTGTCCGTCAGACCGTTGGCTTTGAAGAATCAGGTGGTCCTGACTTTGAATATACCACCTGTTATCATTGTGACCTTGGGCAAATGGCTTTAAGTCTCAATCTCCTTATTTACGAAAATAATGGCTGATAATTGCTATATCACAGGAGTATTGAGAGGATTAGAGACAATGGATAAGTTTATTTCTTCAACTGAAAAAAGGTTGGGCTCCATGATTTCTAAACCCCTGTCTGGCTTGGGTTCCATTGCTTGAGATTTGGCATCTCTTTTTTTCATCACATCTTGATGATGTGGCATTTCTTTCTGGATATGGTCTTTTTTCCATGTCCTTCCTCCACAATCTTGATTGGAGCTCCTCAAATGAAGTCTTTTTTAAAAAGAACCCTTCACAGTATGCTCATGCTAGAGTTTAGAACTTCTGCCTTTGAGAATAGCTCATGTGTTCTTTTTTCTAATTGCAGTTTTTCCACTACTCCCAAGGGCAAGTGTATGCTGGGAATTATCCACCATTTAAGGACAGAATCAGCTGGGCTGGAGACCTTGACAAGAAAGATGCATCAATCAACATAGAAAATATGCAGTTTATACACAATGGCACCTACATCTGTGATGTCAAAAACCCTCCTGACATTGTTGTCCAGCCAGGACACATTAGGCTCTATGTTGTAGAGAAAGGTACTTCCTTGAATATTTTTGTGGTAGTGATACAGCCCCCTTAAGAGTTATGTTTCGGATGTGTTTGAAAGGGGTATTTCTGCCATACAGTTATGATCCCTGTTTCCATGGACTGTGGCTCTATGAAACATCCGTGGGGGTCAGGGAACTCATTCCAACTGGAGTGTTCAATTTCTGCATTTATATACCTGCTGTCTAGAGCATATGGATCACATTCCAGGAGTATGAGTTTTTCATTGTTAGTTAGAAGTAAGACCAGATTCATTATAGTTACATATGGTGGGTAGCGGGGAAGGAGATTAGTATTGTTTTCATATTCTGACTTCCCTGGTGGCTCAGAGGGTAAAGCATCTGCCTACAATGCGGGAGACCTGGGTTTGATCCCTGGGTGGGGAAGATCCTCTGGAGAAGGAAGTGGCAACCCACTCCAGTACACTTGCCTGGAAAATCCCACGGACGGAGGAGCCTGGTAGGCTGCAGTCCATGGGGTCGCAAAGAGTCGGACATGACTGAGCAACTTCACACACACAATATTCTCCAGGAGAAAGCTTTAACATTGGCAGAAACAGTATAGCTATTTCTTCACCTTTTTTTGGAGAATAAGCCAGGAAATGCAGGTTCTGGATCTCATTTTGAGACAAAGTCTGCTTTGTTGGAGAATAGATTGAGGTAAATTCACATACCCAACTTTTCTTTGAGTTAGAGCATTGAGAGGGATTTTATATATATATATATATAAATTTGTTTAGTTCTGAGGCTCATTCTTTATCAGTTAATGTTCATATGTCACCAGTTAGGTATTAGGATATCATAATTTGGATAATAAAAGAGTGTTGTAATTGCTAAAGGAAGACACTTGTTTATTAACTTAATACAATTTCATTTGTTCTCTCCATAGCGATGTACCTTAAACCTATTTTGTTGTTCTTTCTCTCTAGAGATTTTGCCCGCATTTCCAGTTTGGGTAGTGGTGGGTATAGTTACTGCCGTGGTCCTAGGTCTCACTCTGCTTATCACCATGATTCTGGCTGTCCTCTATAGAAGGAGAAACTCTAAACGGGATTACGCTGGGTAAGAAGCTCTGCTTTCGAGGGGAAAGTTGGAGGGAAGAAGTCAAAATATGTGAAAACTTCTATATGTTGTATGGAAAAAGAATGGTGAAGAATTAGCTACTGTTAACATTCATGTCGGAACTGAGCTGTCTCCTTAGAAGGTGTTTTGGTGTGGGCGAGCAGAGATCAATGGACTGCCATTAAACATGGGATATGATGCTAGCATCTGCTTCAGCTTCTTTCTTAGGTTTGGTGAAGTGGACTGCTGTCCGAGTACCCTCCACTCTGAAATTAGTATTGTTAAGCCACGGATATCTTTCTCCATTATGGGTTTAATTTGATCTCTTGGTAATAATCTTACAAGGTTCTTCTTTTCAATTAGGTAAATGTAATAATCATAATAGTACCTGGGAAGAGTGTGCTGATAAATGACTCCTACCTGATGTGATGATGCAGGACTTTTCCTGTTTATAGTTGTATAAGTAGTTTATGACTTTGATTGTTCTTGAATGCATGGCTAGACTCATCCAAGGGGGGTAGTAAGAGTTGAACACCAAAATATACCAGCAGTAAAGAAATGTATACTTTCTTTTTGTTTGTGGCTTCTCAAAGAGAACACATTTGAGCAGAGGATGCGTGTCTAATTGAAGGACCCTCTCTTCTTGCCACTCCAGCTGGACAGCTAGCCCATATAAGCTCTGTAGAACTTGTGTGGTAAGACTGAGAGTGAAGCTGGGTTTCAGCTGATGGAGCACAGGCTGCGTCCCAAGTGCACGAAGGGACTGTGATCTGAGAGGGTTGCATGCCCTGAACTCCTTGGCTGGTGGTTGGTAGAGACCTCTCTCTGGGCTCTGCCGCTTTACTTTTTAGGAGTGCTGTGTTTTAAGGAGTTTGAGTGTTCAAATTCAGATATCACTTGCTTGGAATGTTTCTGTTTTGCTGACTGTACTCGCTCCCTTGCATGGTGAGTAAGTTATAATGAAATATAACCGGAACATTGGTTTTCAACATGAAACTAATCCAGGCGGTGACATGCCAATTTGTAGCCCATGCTTTTGGGTTAATGAAAGCACAGGAAAGTGTGCCTTGGAACCTTGCATGGCATCATGAATGCTGCTGTTCTTCTTACTTGTTTTTTTTTCCTCCTCCCCTGCCTTTTCTACCTTGGCGCGCCAAGATCAGATCCTGCTTATCTTCCACTTCTTAAGAAAAGCTGACATAGACGACACATTGGGACTATAGCAGGGCTGGGTCTCCTCTTCCACTCCCACTAGACACATGGTAACCAATCACACTGGCTGTTGCTGTTAATTTCCCTGTGTGTGTATTCAGCCCATCTCCCTTGTTGACAACTAACCATCTATCTCTGAGCTAACCACACAGCTCTCATAGTTTGTCCACAAATATGTCCTGTGTCTGTATTAGAAACATGTTGAGTGTACCATCCCAATGAAATTGGGTTGTCAGGTTTTATGGTCATCTGAACATATATGTTCTTCATGTAAGATGCCTGTGTGTGTGTGTTAGTTTTTTGTTTTAATACTTGAATTGTATTATTACTGAGTTAGACCCTCTTTGTGTTAGAATGCGCAAACCATTTTGGTTTGGGGTGTATAGCCTCCTAGTTCAGAGAAAGCACGGTTTGCAGAACGCTTTATATGATTTGCTCTTAATAACGACACTTTAAGTGATTCTCTCCACACTTCTAAGATTTTTTAAAAAGTACATCATAAAGGATTTAAGCTCTGCTGAGAACACATCCCATCAAGGAGTCTGTAATGAGTCACCTCTTGACATCAATTCTCCCTGGTTTATTTATGAGATAGGCCTTGCTGTTGAAAACCCCCCGTGCCCCTGAAAAAGTTCAGCCCATGTGATGTGGCATTCCATAGTTTCTTATCATCCATGACTTCCTGGATTTTCTTTGGTTTGGTTGCGGAATTTGGTGGGGAAACAAACAATGGGGGACCCAAGGAATTGAAGGTATGAGATGAGCCAAGACTGCAAGCCTGGATCTGTATCTGTCATTTTGGAAGCACATTCAGAAGAGGTTTGCCTTTGATGATCACAAAAACAAAATTGCTATCAAGAAGGTACAGCTTGCTCCTTTAAACCTGTATGCCAAAGGAGGATTGATAGCAGGGGAAAAAGCCAAAGCAGCCAAAGGATAAACGTATATTACAGCCATAATACCATTCAGCAGGTGGTGGTGTTGTAAACTGGGGCAAAGTGGTCATCTCACATTGGTTTCTGTACCTCCCCTGGAGTAACATCACTGACTTGGAAGAATTAGTGTCAGGGATAAAAATTAGTTTCAAGAAATGTGATTGTTTTGGTACTCATTGTTTTGTTGAGTTTTGTTTTTATATATCTGCTACTTCATCTTGTCATCACTTGCATTTCTATATTTTATGTTTCCATTTTAATTTTTTTCTTTTTTTACATTTGTTCTCCAAATTGCCAACTTATCAGCTGCAATACATCAGAGAATGTGTCACCAGTTAAGCATGTTTCACGGAAGTCTCCCCCTGACACAGAGGGTCTAGTAAAGAGCCCACCTTCTGGATCTCACCAGGTAACAGCTGATTGCACTTCTGTGCCCTGTACCATGCTCTGCAGTTTGGCGCTGTGTCGTGTTCTGGGATGCGGAAAAGAATGATCCTAAGCTGTGAGAGAGTGAAACAGAAAGAGCAAGAGAAGCAGAGAAGAATGTAGGGGTTGGTTTAGGAGGAACACAAGAAAGAATGTGGAAAAGAATCTGACTTGAGTAAAGGTTTCCACCAAACCACCACTAACAGATTGGCTCAAGCAAAATTAGGAGATGACTGTCAGATGTAAACACTTCTTCCCTAACTGCTCAAAGAATTCAAGCTAGTGAACTAGATTCTATATTGAGGTGTACCTTAAGCCATGGAATTCACAGGAGTAAGTTGATTTTGGTATTGATAATAAAACAGAAAAGTTATTTTGTATGAATTCTTTAGAAGAAATAGAAAGTAAACAGTTACTTAAATAATTAGTAGCCTTAATGAACAAGGAAAGTCTGGTTTCTACTTTCTGTAGAAAGTACAGAGAAGAAATAACTTTTATTTGGAACTTAGCATGGAACCTAGCATTGTGGTTAATACTGTGTTTTGTCCATGCTGATATAACTATAATTGTGGCATGGCAGAAATTGTGGCAGAGCTTAGTACTGATTCTGTTCTTCTGGGATAGAAAGTGTTAGAAGGAATGTGGCCAGTTATAACTTTGCTCTGAGGAGGAGGGATTAGGGGTGTATTGGGGTGCCTGGATTTAAGAGGAAGTAAAGAAAAGAATAACAGTGTTTTGTGGAAGAATTACCCCACAGTCTTAATCTACAGTTGTTGTATGTGGTGAGGACACTGAGGCGTTGTGATGTTAAATTATTAAAAGCACAGAGAAGTTAGCGACAGAATTGGGGCTCGAACATTAGATTTCTAGGCAGCATGTATTCTTTCACAGCATCAGGACCTTACTTAATCCTAGTCTGTCTGTTCATCTCTCTCATTCTTTTTATCTGTGTGTCTTTCTGTCTCTCTCTCTCAGTTTACACAGGATGCCTCGGATACCTGATTCACTCATTTGGATTGTGAATGGGAGTAAGGTTGTGAATAAAGGCATAAATAAATAAAGTTACAGGTAGACATTTTACCTAGAGAAGCCCTGGAAACTTCTTCTTCTGCCCCTGAAATGCTGTAGAACTTGTTCTCCTATTGAAAACAAACTGGGGGCAGGGAGAAGAAAGAATGAATTCTATACACTGGAAAATAGGTTGTTCGGTACCATGGTTCCTGAGAGAAGGGAGCAAAGGGCAGCCCTGTGATCGTCCCGGCTTACTCCTCAAGGCGTTTTCCAGACTGCAGTACTGAGGGGAAATAGAAATGGCTCAGTTGTCTCACTGAGCCGAGGAGACAGAAATCAGAGCTAGGGGAGGCCAAGGTGGCTAGGATTCATGAGGCACTGTACCAGAGAAGGAGAAACAGAGCAGAGAGAAGCAGCGTCAGGATCTGGGGTGGGTCCCCTTGAGCCTTTGCTAAATACAGATTTGTGGATGCATGGGCGAGACGTCCTGGTGGCCAGAGGAAGAACTGCAGTAGTGCCCTGAAACTTATCCAGGTCTGTAAGTAGTTGTGTTCTCAAGAGCCAGAATGGAGAGAACTCATTATGTACAGGGTATTGGTTGGAGTTCCCAGAATGGTCATACGTTAGTTGGATAAGTTGCATCCAACTCTTTGTGATGCCATAGACTATAGCCCTCTAGGCTCCTCTGTCCATGGGATTTCCAAGGCAAGAATACTGGAGTGGGGGGGAAAAAAATACTGGAGTGGGTTGTCACTTCCTTCTCCAGGGAACCTTCCCGACCCAGGGATTGAACCCATGTCTCTTGCATTGGCAGAAGAGAGCCAATGGCTCTTTACCACTGAGCCATGGGGGTAATGAGACTAAATCAGCACCAGATTATGGATGCTATGGACCCACCATAAAAATGAAGCATTTAAAGAATCAAACTAATCTAAAAGTAATTTAGGTGCATGCCAGCACAAAATCCAGTCTTAACAACAATATAGCAAAACCCAAGAATCTAAAAAGTGTGTGTGTATATGTATATAAAAATAAGTATATGTAGAAAAAAGTGTATGTGTACATATATGTGTGTGTGTGTGTGTAGCTGGATCACTTTGCTGTACTCTTGAAATTAACACAGTATTGTAAATTAACTATGCCTCAAGTTTTTAAAAAGAGAAACACCAAAAATCAAAATCCAACACCTGCCACTGAAAACCTCACAGTGTCTGATTGGCTATGTGTGTGCTACATCCTTTCAGTCGTGTCTGACTCTTTGCAACCGTGCGGGCTGTAGCCCATCAGGCTGCTCTGTCCGTGGGATTCTCTGGGCACAAATACTGGAGTGGGTTTAGATGCCCTCCTCCAGGGGATCTTCCCAACCCAGGGATCAGGCCTGCATCTCTCCTGTCTCCTGCATTGGCAGGTGGGTTCTTTGCCACTGGCACCACCTGAGAAGCCCACCCCAATACAAAAGTTTTTGGTGTTAAAAAAAAATTCACAATGTCTGATACCAGTCAAAAATTACCAAGCATACGAAGAAGGAGGAATATAAAACATATAGTCAAGAGAAAAGTCAACCAATAGAAGCAAAGCCAGAAGTGACATAGGTGATAGAATTCATAGACAAGGACCTTAAAATAAATATGATAAATCTTAAAAATAAACTTAAGGTTGTAAGGGAGACCTTAATATAATATGGAGAGAAATAGAAATATAAAAAAGACCAAAACGGAAGAAACTTCTAGAAATGAAAAAAACACTGGATGGCATACATGACAGATTAGACACTATGGAAGAAAAATTCAGCAAACTTGAAGAAGCAGTTGAAACTAACCAAAACAACACATGAAAGAAAACCTGGGAGACGTGAACGAAACTACAGTAGTAAGCTAGCAAACAATATTAAGCAACCTGATTGGAGGCTGAGAAGGAAAGGGAAGTTAAAAAAAAAAAAAATTTAAGAAATAGTGCCAAATACTTTCCATTCCTGTAGTGTATTTGCTCACTTATTCTTCGTTTGCTGGATCTCTGTTGCTGCATGTGGGCTTTCTCTGGCCGTGGCTGTTTTAGGCAGGGGCTGCTCTTGGCTGTGGTGCCTGGGCTGCTTATTTTGGTGGCTTCTCTTGTTGCAGAGCACAGGCTGGGCGTTGTACGCTCAGTAGTTGGGCTCAGTTGCTCTGTGGCATGTAGAATCTACCCTGACCAGGGCTCGAATTCGTGTTCTCTACATTGGCAGGGGGATTTGTGTCCACTGTACCACCAGGGAAGTTTCTCTTTTTGCCATTTTCCCACTGATATTTATTTTCATATTCCTGAGCAACTTTATTACTGAATTTAGCCCCTCCCTGCAAGCCCTTCTTCCCAGCATACACTTTCAAGTATGTACACAGCCACATGCTTCTTCCCAGTATGGATATGTGGTTAGGTGTTGTTTTTCACTGTTACATATGCCTGTTTTTGTCCACTGTTGTACTGCATACATTTGGTCTTTTGTACATTTTTGTTGTTGTTGTTTGTCATAGAGCTCATCTTTACTTTGGTTTATCTTTGCTTAGTTTTCTAAGTGCTTATCTATTAATGCACTCCATCTCAAAACTCTCCAGGCAAAAAACTCTGAGCACATTCTGACACATCAGATATTCTGTTGGTTTCATTTTATTCATGGAAACATACCTGTTGAGATATTCTGGCTTTGTTGTGCTTTAGGCTGCTGTGTAGGAATCATCCTGGGCCTCCCCTCCCAAGAAATTTTCTTTCTCTCGCTTCTGTTGGACCTCAGATCCTCACCTTTTTACTTTATTCCTATAGTGTGGTAGAGCATATCCTCCATAGCTTCTTGAGAAAGGATGCACAGCAGATACGGATGTTGAGGCTTTGTATGGTATGCAGAATAATGACCTCCAAAAGATGTCCACAGCCCAATCCCTGGAACCTGTGGGATATGTTACATTACATGTCAAGATCCTTACCTTATGGATCTTGAGATGGGGAGATTTTCCTGGGTTATCCATGTGGGCCAAATGTAATCAGGAGGGTCCTTACCAGAGGGAAGGAGGAGGGTCTAAGCCAGAGATTTGAAGACTATTCTACTGGCTTTGAAGATGAAGGAAGGGGTCACAAGCCAAGGAATGCAAGCAGCTCCCATAAGCTGGGGAACGCAAGGAAGCAGATTCTCCCTGGAGCCCTTAGGAGAATGCAGCTCTCCTGATGCCTTGATTCACCCCAGTGAAACCCATCTCAAACTTTCAACCTCCAAAACTGTAAAATAATATGTTTGTCTTCAGCAGGTCTGAAATTGTTTTTATTCTCCTCCCTCAAACTTGACTGAGAATCTGGTTGGGTCGGATTCCAGATTGGAAATCATTTTCCTTCAGCGTTTTGAGGCATTGCTGGTTTTTCTAGCTTCCAATGCCAAGAAGTTGATACTGTTCTGATGCCTCCTCCTTTGTGTAGGGCCAGTTTTTTTTCCCCTTCTCTTAGAGTGTTTTTTTATCCCTTGTGTTCTGAAATTTTATAAAATTGTGGGTTTTTTTCCATACATTATACTGGCTACTCAGTGGGCTCATTTTTTTCTGCTTTGCAATTTTCTTCTAGAAAATTTCTACAACTTTATCTTCCAGCTTTTATTAAATATTTAATTTCTGTTATCTTCCTCTTAATTTTCAAGAACTTTTACTTATTCTCAGATTCTAATAGCCCCTACTTGTTTTCATGAATACATTGTCTTATCTCTCTGTATAATTTTTTCTTGTTTTATGTAATTTTTTAAAAAATGTTTTCTTCTGTTATTGTTTCTTTTGAATTCCCTTTTTTCTCGTACAGTTTTTGTCTTCATGTTAGAAGCTTTCCTCAAATGCCCAATGATCCTTGGCTGTCTGTTCATAGTGAAGGCACCCAGTAAGTGGACTGAAAAATGAAAGTGTTAGTTGCTCAGTGGTGTCCGACTCTGCGAGACCATAGACTATAGCCCAGCAGGCTCCTCTGTCC